GAGGAGGAAGGGTCACAACAGAAGCCAGCATTATATGGACAAAATACAGTCTGCCAAAGCACTGTTTTATCAGTTGGCTGGCATAGAAAAGACGGCTTCTAACTGTGAAAAGACTGGCAAAACTAAATGTTCAGGTTGTTGATCAGCAATGTGTTCTCTACAAACAACAAGATGAAACTATTGATCATTTTCTTTTCAACTGCCAGTATGCAAATGACATCATCACTGAAGTAAGGAAATGGCTGGGTGTGCATAGTAATAAAGAAGGTTTGAAAAAAAGGTTTCTGATGAAAATTTGGAGATTTAAACGCCTGAAACAGAAGATCCTGTGTGCATGTATCAATGTTGTCATATATCAAGTATAAATGGAGCACAATGCAAGGAAGTTTGGACAAGGAATGTTGATGTAGTGGCTAGGTCTGAAATGCTAAAGCAGGAAATAGCTGAGGGTGGGAAATTTTTGTAAAAAAACTAGTCTTGCAGACAGGAAGTTCTTGCAGCAGCTAGGAATCAACTTAACTTGTACATAGTGAGCGGGATGATTGAAATGTTGCAGTTTTGATGGTGGTGATGAATACAATTTACAGTTTAACAAAAAAAAATAAGTAAGATTTTAACTTAAGTATTTCTATTTATATTTGCAATTATCATGTTTATTCCATTATAAAAATTATAATGTTATGACTATGACTGCAACGGACTTCTCTTGAAATAAAAATAATAAATTGTTGTATTTTCTTACTTATAAGATTGAAAAAACTCATTAAATTAATAAAATATTAATTTATCGATAAATTAATAATTATTAAATTATCGATAAATTAATAACTCTATAAATTAATAAATTTTTGGAGGCCCAAGGGGCCGAGAGTGTATTAATTTATATAGATTTTACTGTACATCAAATGCACTAATACATCTTGAATTTACTATAAATTATCAGCCTCACTATATTGAAATACAAAATAAAAACTACATACGTCTTGACACTTCCAGACTTCAACGAATTCAGAAATATATTAAATATGTTGTGGTAACTGTTGTTTAGTAGCAAGAACTCTGGGGAAAAAATTTAGTAGATATAGAACAAATTCAGTTTCCAAATGGAAAAAATTTCAATTTCGTGGTTAAATGAATATAACTGTTCCATATCGCAACATAGTTTTGAGGTTTAATTTTACTGTGCGATTATTTAGCTTTACGTTGATATTATCAAACTAAGGTAATTTAAAAAGTAGGATTATCATGAATTGAATGAACTACCTTGTTTAACAGAACTATTCCTTCTTACATAGCGGAATAGAATGAACAAAAGGGGGAGCAATTAAGCAAATTTAAGACACAATATTGAAGCAAGCCGGCTACATTCAAATAGCTTGAGAGAATCTGGTAGCTAGCGAGTATTCTGTTGTTGTAATTTTTTGGCTATCAAATTCAAGTTCCCAACAAATTGCATTAACTGTTCTTTAATTTTCTTTCTGTTTCCCATTCCCCTTTAACTATAGTTTAGAAAAGTACCTCTAAAATTTTACAAATTACCTCTATAATTTAACAAAATACCTCTATAGTTTAGTAATTAAAGTAACTCTATAATTTAACCAAACACCTCTATAATTTAGAAAACCACCTCTATAGTTTCGAAATTACCTCTATAATTTCGCAAAGTACCTCTATAACTTAAGAGAGTACCTCTAACGTTTCGCAAAGTAAGTTTATAGTTTCTCAAAATTATAGAGGAACTTTGTTAAATCATAGAGGTACAACTTTCTTAAACTATAGATGGACTTTGCGAAATTATAGAAGAACTTTGTTAAATCATAGAGATATTTTGTTAAATTATAGAGGTACTTTGCGAAATTATAGAGTTACTTTGCAAAACTATAGAGGTACATACTTTGTTAAATTAAAGAAGTATTTCGCAAAATTATAGAAGTACTTTGGTTAAATTATAGAGACATTTTGCGAAATTAAAGAGGTACTTTGCAAAATCATAGAGGTGCTTTGTGAAACTGTAGAGGTACTTTGCTAAATTATAAAGGTCATTTCTGAAATTATAGAAGAACTTTTCTAAATTAGAGGTACTTTGTTAAATTATAGAGGTACTTTGACAAATTATAGAGGTATTTTGTTAAACTGTGGACGTATTTTGCGAAATTATAGAGGAACTTTGCGAAACTATAGAGGTACTTTGTTAAATTATAGAGCTACTTTGCAAAATTATAGATGTACTTTGCGAAACTATAAAAGTACTTTGTTAAATTAAAGAAGTATTTTGCGAAACTGTAGAGCTACTTTGTGAAATTATAGAGATACTTTGAAATTATAGAAGTACTTTGCGAAAATATAGAAGTACTTTGTTAAATTATAGATGTACTTTGTAAAATTGTAGAAGAACATTGTTAAATTGTAAAGATGCTTTCCGAAATTATAGAGGAACTTTGCGAAATTATAGAGGTACTTTGTTAAATTATAGACGTAATTTGCGAATTTATAGAAGTACTTACTTTGTTAAATTAAAGAAGTACTTTGTTAAATAGAGATACTTTGCAAAATTATAGAAGACCTTTGTTAAATTATAGAGATATTTTGTTAAACTATTAAGATACTTTGCGAAATTATGGAGGTACTTTGTAAAATTATAGAGGTATTTTGTTAAATTAAAGAAGTATTTTGCAAAACTGTAGAGGTAATTTGTGAATTTATTGAGATACTTTGCAAAATTATAGAGATAATTTGCGAAACCATAGAGGTACTTTGCAATTACAGGGGTACTTTGCAAAGTATTTTGCAAAATTATAGAGAAACTTTATTAAATTGTAGAGGTACTTTGTTAAATTATAGATATACTTTGCAAAATTATAGAGGTATTTTGCAAAATTATAGAAGAACTTTATTAAATTATAGAGGTATTTGTTAAACTATAGAGTTACTTTGTTAAATTTTAGAGGTGCTTTGCAAAATTATAGAGGAACTTTCTTAAATTATAGAGGTAATTTGTTAAACTATAGAGGTTCTTTGCGAAATTATAGTGTTGCACTAGTAAATTATAGAGGTAATATACAAACATGTAGAGGTATTTTGTTGAATTATAGAGGTAGTTTGCTAAATTATAGATTTATTTTGCGAAACCATAGGGAGTTTGTTAAATTAAAGAGATATTTTGTGAAATTATTAACAATGTACCTCTATAATTTTACAAAGTATCTCAATAATTTCACAAAGTACCTCTATAGTTTAGCAATGTACCTACTATTAACTCTATAATTAACCAAAGTATATTTATAATTTCGCAAAATGCCTCTATAATTTCATAAAGTACCTCTACAACTTAACAAAGTACTTCTGTAATTTCACAAAGTACTTATATAATTTTGCAAAATACCTCTATAATTTAACAAAGTAACTCTATATTTTCTCAAAGTACTTCTCTAATTCCGCAAATTACCTCAATTGTTTCAAAAATTACTCTATAATTTAGCAAAGTACCTCTATAGTTTCACAAAGTAATTCTATAATTTCGCGAAATACCTCTTAATTTTGCAGGGTACCTCTATAATTTCGTAAAATACATCTATAATTTCGCAAAGTAACTCAATAGTTTAGCAAAATACCTTTATAGTTTCGCATGAAGAATTAAAATAAAGTCTAAAACGTGAAACCAACACACATTGTGCAGGTGGGAGGGGAAAAAAAAAAAAAAACACCTACTACGATGATCATGAGAAGACTGAAATTAATACGAAAGATATATTTGTTTTTTTATCAACACAACATAACAACAACCTATAATAATCCCCTGAATTAATTTAGCAAGGCAGAATTGACATCTCTTCTTGGTGAAGAAGCGATTTTCGATGTAGCCTCTTATGTACTGCACAAGTTACTACTCCGATCCGTTCCGGTGCTCTCAACCTTAGATTCTTCAAAATCCTGCTGATCGTCACTTTCTCCGCCTTGTTTGTTTGATTTGAAGCTTTTCTTATCTTTTAGCTCCTTCTCAAGGAGCCGTTGATACTCTTGCTTTAGCTTCAGTCTATATAGCGCATTAATTTTGCGCTCTTTTTTCCTGAAATAATCATCAACGCCATCGTGATCGTCGACCTCCGCCGGCCGAGCGAGCTGATCAGCTTTACGCGCCTCTTCCACTTCCTCAATCCGTTTCCAATGATTTTCCTCCATAGAATTGCGCTGGATATTGTACCCTAGCAGCTAGCAGATATATAATAGAGGTGCTTCAATGTCTTTCCGACGAGGAATTGGAAGATAAATTAAATTCTGTTATTATATGCTGAACCGGGCTTTTTTTTTTATAATGTATTACTACTATTGTGCTGGACTGGGCTTATTGTATGATTTCCCTCTCTCATATTGTTACCATTTATTTACTTGTAATTATGCATGGTTATTTTAATTGTCATATAATATAATATCTATTTCTTTTCTTTTCTACAAGGAAGAGACAATTATATATTGATTACATTTTATTTCCTAGATTGAAGATAACAGTAGAGTTACGTATCATGATCAGTTAAAGATATAATCTTTAAAAAATTGAATTATGTAATTTTATTTTTTTGATTTCAATAAAGGAGGCAAACTTATATTCCGTAGATAAGAAATTCCGATAAGATTGTGTTCCTATCCGATGGATCAAATAATTTATGTACTAAACCCTAGCTACATTCCCATTGATGCTAAGTAACCAGTGGAGAGATTGACTTCTCGGAAAATTGGCTTATGTAATTTACTTGATTTGTTCAATTTATATTGTTACAAAAAATGACTATTACTACTACATGATAATATTTTTGCAAAACCAAAGAATGTATATGACCATGAATCATATACATATTTGACATTATCGTTAGTACGTAGTAGTTCTAATTCAACCAAAAAAAAAAAAAAAAAACCTTCTAGATCAGTGGCGCATACAAACATCTAAAGTTACAAACAGTTTGAAACTTAAAAGCGAAACAACTAGAAACATGAACATAACCATAGGCAATTTGATCATTTATTATACCTCCATTCCAAAAATTGGGATTGAAAAGATATATGTGCATCATTTATTATAACCTGCAGGTCGAGAGCGAAAACGCATCGACAAGTTTTCACAACCACGGTGTACTGTCATTCCAAATTTGTTTCAAAGGAATCATGACTTTATTAGAAACCTTACAATCATAACTTTTAAAAACTTTTATTAGTTTACTAGAAACCAACTTAATGGTTAATTATATGCCTCCCATCCTATCAAGAATTCCATGATCATGCCATGGACCAAGTAACTTGAACTCGTCCAAGATCTTCATTGAGCCCTAACGCTTTCCACACACCATCCGAACCATCAACGACGTTATTGTCACACGGCGGTTCAAACGCACGCGCGGCGTCGCAACCGTGCCTCGAGTCACACTCGCCAACCACTTTCGCCGTCGTACTTCTACCGTTACTGGCCGTGATTCTAATCATCCTCCCACACCTCGCGCCGTCGGAGTACCAACCCGTTGAAAGCGCAACCAATCTTTCAGAATTAGAATGGTAATTTTGATCACATTCTGATTGACTTCCACCGTCTTCGCCGGCGCTGAAGTCATTCAAAGTCAGTGTTGCCGGTGTTGACCCGTTGACCGGGGGCGAGCATGTATATGTGGGTTTAGTTTGACCGTTGCACCTCAAGGAGCCGGATGGGAGACAGCTTCCACCACCGGAAGTGGCGGATCCGGGGCAGAAATGGGTTCCGACTTCCGGGTCGTCGTTGCATTTTCCGTTGATGCATATTAGCTGGCCATCACAATCGTTCAAGGTTTTGCATGAACCACCGCAGGGAACGGCAGTTGCTAGGGATGAAAGGAAAACATTAATAACGGTGAAGGAAGTAAAAAAGGAAAACAAGATGAAGTTTCCCATGGTTAAGATTTAATTTTTAATGAATTAATAGTTGAATATTTATATCTTAAGACAAGCTTGCGTTTGTGTGTGAGAATCGCAAATTCGACTTGTTAGGGCGGTTTTCATTAGTTGAACCATGGTGGCTAATTGACCCAAGGGAAATCCTTGAAATTTCTAGAGTGATAGCTACCCAAGATTTTCAATTTTCAATTTTGTGGACATATATCTCAGTTTAAAGTCCACATCCCCCCAAATTTGTTCAACATGAATACCCTTCTAATTATTTGTTGCAATTATCTGACTCGTCAGTTCGATTGGATATCTAGCTGCCCTTGACTGAAGCCATTCCTTATATAGTCAGATACAGAATTGCACGTCTTTCATAAAGTGCGTGTCAATTGATAACACTATTGCAAGTTGCAATTTAGGCAGCTGCAAGGTCTCCGATATAGTGACGATCATAGTCAAGAATCGACAGTAATTTATCTTTTCTTTTAAGGCTAAATTGCAGAGTTCACAGATTAAATTTAATTTCACGTTTTAAGGTAAGATCAAATATAAATTTTTGGGATATCCAAGGAAAAAAAAACCAATTTTTCTCTTGTTGAGACGGCGGGGAACAGTTTGATCACAAGTTCTTTTCCTCTTTAAGGAAAATTTTCAAACTTTATTAAGTTCTACATGCAACATTTTCAACTGGTTCTATCATTCCCTGTTGGTATAATATTACAATGCTAAGAAGGCTCACATACATATTACTAAAAAGTTACTAGACTTGCAAAATTATGATGTCATCATGGGTGTATATGAACAAAATGCTGAGAAGAGCGCAAGTGCTTTGCAAATGCTCCAGTTCCTGATTAGTTGAGCACTGGTTGTCAATTCATACATATGTCTAAATTCTAATGTGCTTTTAATTAGCATCCGTAAAAATCAAATATAAGGGCACAATCACTTACTACATACTAATTGAAGAGTATTGTATAAAATAGTATTGTTTAATTGCATAACAAGATGCAAGAAGGAACAAACAAAAATAAACAACGATTAACCACGATGCACAATAAAATATTCTCCCTCAGTCCATAAATTATTGTCCAGTTTGGATGTTCAAATTTAATTCAATTTATATTATAACTGAAAAATCCATGCTAACAATTTTGGGACGGGAGTACTAAATTTTATCACGTATATGAACCATATGTTGTCCGAAGTCCGAACTACATACCACCTCTCTACTAATTTTCATTACTCAGAACTCAAACAACAAATACTCCGTAACGGACGAACAGGATCGGTCTCGTTATTATGCTACACAATTCATTATGGTGTACCCCTGACTATCATGATTCCCTTCAAGGTAAACCTACCGTCAACAACAGTGTGACTAAACCTCGATTGTCGGTGTAAAGAATGATATCCCCATTTCAAATTTTTGTTGCCTGGTTCCATTTGGTAATGTGACAGGTGCAAAAGTATATGTAAATTACATCCTTATCGTACATATTATGGGAAATACAAGCATATGCGGTTCATATGCATGTAGGAAATTTAGATCATACAAACCAAAATTTGAAAATAAACGGAGTCAAATTAAGTTCAGTAGTTACAATATATTCACCACGCAATCTTTATTTAAACGGGAAAACCAATCCCTAGTTTCTCAACTCAAGTAGCGTACTCTCTGTTACATTATTTTTGTTCCAACCTAGGAAATAAGGACCATCAATTCATCATGATCATCAGATACCCACAAAACCCTTACTTTTAGAAACTTAATTTATTCATTATTAATTTAGAAACCAACTTAATAAGTACTGGTCTTTTCCTAGCGTGTACAAGAAGATTATGCCATCGACCAGGATACCGGAACTCGTCCGAGGTCTTCATTGAGCCCTAACGCTTTCCACACAGCATCGGAACCGTCAACGATGTTATTCTCACAACCATCGTTCGAGTCACACTCGTCCACCACCTTCGCCGTCGTGGTCCTTCCATTTCTGGCCGTGATTCTGATCATCTTCCCACACCTCGACCCGCCGGCGTACCACCGTGTGGAAAGCGCGACCACTCTTTCGGTATTAGCGTGGTACCTGCCATCACATTCTGATGGGCCACCGCCGTCACCGCCTTCGCTAAAGTCATTGAGAGTTAATACAGCCGACATGGATCCGGAGCCACCGCCACCACCACCGGAAGGGCCGGATGGGGTGCCGCAAGTGTGGGTTCCGATGTCGGGGTCATCGTTGCATTTGCCGTTAATGCAGATAAGTTGGCCGTCACAGTCGTTTAGGTCTCCGCATGAACCACCGCAAGGTGCGGCGGTTGCTAGGAATGGGAGGGAAACAATGAGAAGCGAAAACAAGATGAAGTTAGCCATGTTGGTCAAGATTGAAGGAGACAAAGTTGATTGATTAGAATGTGTTTGAGTTTGTTTTTTAGATATGTGTGGATTGAAACTGCATGTATTTATAAGGATGTTTTGAGATGATGGACCAAGGCGGCTATTCAAAATATCAGTATTGAATTGCCAACGTGTGCTAGACGCAATGAGTTGTATTAAATTTACTTTTCAGTTATTGCTTTTTTAATTCTCTTGCATATCCTAATACGACATGTAAAAAATATAGAGGTGGTAGATTATAAGACGAAAAATATTACTTAATGTAAAATGCGTGGGATTGGATTTCCCCAAAGGATCACGGAAAATCACATGTAATCTATGGCCTGATGTCTAAAGGTTGGGAGTTGGGACATTATTGAAGAAGATTTTGTTTGATTTGGTTTGTTTTTTAAGTGTATTTTTTTTGTTGTGAATATTAAATAAAAGCATTTTAAGAGAGTAACATATATTGATTGAAAATTACAAAATGGTGAGTTGATGAAATTTGTTGTGCCTAACAAATTGCAAATATGTGCTAGACGTAATGAACTGTCGCTTTAGTCGACGACTTTGACGTAATGATCAATGGGGCAGCTTCGGATCGTGTAGGAATTCTTCTAATTTGCTTATCGGGAAATTGTGCCAAATGTGTTCAACATGAGTGTTCTTGTAAGTTGTAAGTCTTGTAGAAATATATGAGCCATCAGTTTGCAAGATGCCATGCCCTTTTCTTAATAGTCTGGCAAGCCATAGCGATCTCGAGCCCCTGTTATGATATAAAGCTCATATCTTTGAACATCTAGCTCAAAACAGAATATAGTAGAGAATCTAGAGATTAATTTATTACTCTTATTATATGTTGATCACTTTTCTTTCAATCTGTCCATTTGGGATAAAGGTTTCTCAGCAAGAAGAACAGAATGGCACGTCTCGGTTTTGTGTCAATCATTATTCATTTGATGTGCTTTTGTCGGAGGAAATTTGTACGTGAATGCATGATCGGTTTCTATGTTATGATTTGTGATTTTCCCTCTTCATCACACATGGAAAAGCTACAGTCGATGTCCTTTGATCGATGATGGTGTCAAGCTGCGATTTGGATGGAGAGCTGTCTATATCAATCAATTAGAAGACGAATGCCAATTATCCTTGAAATTGGGAACCATAAAGATAGCCTCATGTAGAGTTATATAAATGAAGGTTTCCCTTTTATTCTCACATACTTTATTGTTTTCGAGACATTCTTTATTTAATTTTTGTCACTGAAAGCTTAAGATTGAGAAGAAATTTATTTGAATATTTTTAATTATGAAACAAGGGCAAATTCTGTGTCACAATTTTTTCAAAAAAACTAAATATCTTTTAGTTATATTGTTTAAATTTAATAAAATGAATCATTTTCTTAACAAAAAAAGTAGCTAAATACACAATTCTTAACAACGTCTATGATACTTCTAGTGATTATGAAAACGAAGGAGCCATCTGACTAAGAATTAGCCCCACGTCTACGGCTGCGAACCGCAAGCTTTGACCACATGGCAATCTCGAATTCCTTAGTAAAACAAACTATGAAGAGAGTGTATGTAGCTGACTCCGACACCTTGATTACGACTGTAACTGATTCGCGAGAAATTCTTTGAATGAAAACTATTGACGCGATTGGCAATGTTTTCAAATCTTTGACCACATATTGACTTAACTACCCTCTCTCACAAACAAATTCAATCGGTACTATTTTCCAATCCTGACGGCAATGGTTTTGGAGCTACAACGGCGAAGATCTTTCCGACCGGCGATGGCTTTGGAGAAGAGGAAGTAACCGTGGAGCACGTTTCGCTCTCTGTTTACAGCCCCGATCCGTTCGGATTTGATTCAAATTAGGATCCCTCGCTACACCTTTTGGAGCTCTATCAATTCTGGTTTCTCATGGGAATGGCAAGTCTTATGACCTTGGGATTGATTTGGAAGGGGTTATCATCTCCGACGGGCCTTTTATACCTCCTCCCAACGAGATGCAAGAGGAAGGCGTTGCTCTTTGGGAATGTCGTCGGTGAGGCTTTTGTTTTTGGCAATTTTCTAATTGGCTTAGTACAATGTGCCATTAATTGGTTGAATATGTTTAGATCTGCTATGTGCGATTGAAAATTTGGCCATTTCTAAGCATGAATTTTGAGTAGAGTTAAAAAGAATGAGACATCGGTGTTGGTTGCTGCGGTCGGCGTTGAAAAATTGAAAGAGAAGGATAACCGCAGAAGTAACGAAGTTTTGCTTTGTTAATTTTCAATCAGGGGTAAAATTAGAAGTTTACAAGATAAAAATAAGTTATACCTTACTGGGTTGACCAAATTAAAGTTATATATTTTGAAACTGGATTATTTTTATGAGATGGAAGGAATATATATTATAATAGTTATAAATCTATTTATCTCTGTTACTGCTATTTATTCTTTTTCTGGATATGAAGGAAGAGGTTATAACCTGACAAAATTAAATTAAATCGTTTCGCGGAAGAGGTTATTTGCCTTTTAAATGGGCTGTATCAGAATTAATCTTGTATGACTTGATTCTACGAAATATCCACGGTTCTTGTCCAAGGAAAAATTAAAAAACAAAAGAGAGAAAAGCAGCTTCATGTTCTGCTCGAGCAATTTTAACGTAACTAATTCATGACCAATTTTAACTTCATGTTCTGCTCGAGAACATAAATATGTTTCATTAGTTTAAAAATTGGAGTTATGTTTACTAAACTATATTTCTTCATATCAAAAAATGATTTTTATTTTGGCCTAGATTGAAAAATGGAGTGTTCATGTAAGCTCTGGAAATTTAATATTTGGCAAATTTCTAAAGAATGAGTTGTAGCTGTGAAGTAATTGAAAGTATATGAGTCCTCAAATTTCCCCTCGGTTTAAGCCCTTCGGTAAAAAAAAAAAAAAAAAAAAATCAACAAATTTGGAAGAATAAATCATCAATTTGCAAAGAAGTATCATTTCTATATCAATATATGTTCTAACGTTATACGAAATTAACCTGCTGTTGAGTTTATTGGTTCAAGGTTTGATTGCTATAGAAGTTTATGGGATTTCACCTCAAAATCAATTGGCAATGAAGGAAGTAGCCTATATAACTTATATATTAATACAAAGTCTCTCATGACACCAACGTGGGATAAGTGTTTTATCAATTGCCTCGTCTAATAGTTCATCCTTTTTGTCTCTACCTTTGAATTATCTAGAAATTTATGATCAGAACTAATGAACTCAATCATTTACGACCTTAAGTCTTTGGACATGAGTTTTCACCTCATACAGCTCCTCCTTCTAATAATAACTTTTCAAAAAAATGAAATATATATATATATATATATATATAATATAAGTACTATGATTATTTTCAGATTGGCTTTTCCCTATGGCCTATTTCTTGTTAGTATCACTATCACATAACCGTATAATGATATAATCAACAAGGGTTTTTAACAATGTGATACGTATTAACTAAATTTAACTTTGAGTCTATGATTCGGTTTTAAACCTCAAAATGAATATGTGTAACGGATTAGGAGAGTTTAGGAGACTGAATACCTAATATACCAAAAGACTGTATAAAGTTCTAAATTCCTGAGCCTAAATCAAGACGCGAGGTCCCAATCCTTGCCATAATTGCTCATGAAGAAGGGACGCACGGAGTGCAAAGTTTCAAGTAGCAGGTATCTACTATCTAGTTGGGTTCGATTCCATTTTGCGATCTATTTGGTACTAAAGCGTGAAAGAAAACTTGCAAGCGCGCTGAAACATTAAGGTGCCGAGAACTCTGAGAAAGAGGAAATTGACCTTTGAAATTAAGTGGACGGTTTCCCAGACCTCTGAAACATTATTGTTGTCAGGGCACCGTTATTAATGATGTTTTTGAAATTTTCGTTGAGAAGTTACGTAAACCCTAGATCATTATGATATGCATGTGGATCGGAAATACGTGTAGTTCGATTGAAATGTTGGAACTTTTGAACATAAACCAAACTTTGGGAAAAACAAACGGTTATGCAATAAAACTTCATAATTCAGAACAAGCATCATGCATGCATTATTTAAAAGGGGGAAAACAAGTTTCTCTACTCATCAAGTAGAGTCAGTTACATTATTTTTGTTCCTAAAATCATGGTCAGAGACCATGATATTTATATCCTTATTAGAAACTTTATTAGTAGTAATTTATTAGAAACCAACTTAAGGGTATCTTCGTAAAAGTATTGGTGGGTAAAGCGCTTATGCCATGGACCAAGTAACCGGAACTCGTCCGAGATCTTCATTGAGACCTAATGCTTTCCAAACAGCATCGGAACCGTCAACGATGTTATTATCACAAGCCTGTTGATAAGCATGCTCGGCGTCGCAACCGTGCCTCGAGTCACACTCGTCGACCACCTTCGCCGTCGTGCTTCTTCCGTTTCTTGCCGTGATTCTGATCATCCTTCCGCACCTCGACCCGCCGGCGTACCACCCGGTGGAAAGCGCCACCACTCTTTCGGTGTTGGAGTGGTACATGTTGTCACATTCCGACGGGCCACCGCCGTCACCGCCGGCGCTGAAGTCATTGAGAGTTAGTATAGCTGAAGTGGACCCGGTGACTGGCGGGGAGCACGTGTACGTCGGTTTAGTTACACCTGCACACGTGAGTGATCCCGACGGCTGGCAGCTGCCACCGCCGCCACCACCGGAAGGTGGCGTTCCGCTTCTGCAAATATGGGTTCCGACGTCGGGGTCGTCGTTACATTTTCCATTAATGCAGATAAGTTGACCGTCACAGTCGTTCAAGTCTCTGCATGAACCACCGCAGGATGCGGCGGTGGCTAGGAATGGAAGGGAAACAATGAGAAGCGAAAACAGGATAAAGTTTGCCATGTTGGTCAAGATTGAAGGAAGAAAAAGGTGATTGAGTAGAATTTGTTTGTGTTTGAAAAATGAGAAGATTTACTGTTGTATTTATAGGGGACGTTTTGGTTTTGCAGGACCACGGCGGCTATCTAGTATTGATTGACTCGTGGAAAATCCTAGAAACTATTCGACTGACCTCCAATATTTTCAATTATTGATTACTACAAATATCTCAATTCAGAGGTCGTTCTGTTACTCATTATAGAAGATAGAATTCTATTAATAACTTGGAAACCAGTTTTACTTCAAAATCGTTAATTACATGATTATGTAAAATATGGTTTTAGTTTAGGAGTGAGATATAAGAGTGTAACTTTGAAAAAGAAAGAGTTATAGATTGTTCAATTTTTATATTAATTGTACAAAATCTCTTTTATACAGTATTATTATATACTATCTGTCCCAAAAGGGTGTTTCGGTCAAAAAAATTTCCAAAAAAATATGTGGACAAAAATGATGTTTTTCTATTTTAGGTGGACAAAACTAGTTGTCTCTGATTTTCCCTAATCCGAATCTATTCATTTTGTACTAGATTCGGATTTGACAAATCCTCAATAAAATTCATACATCAGATAGTTGTGGTACAGGGAAATTCGGATTTGTCTATATTTGAATTTGACAAATTCGAGAGAATAAATATTTTTGTCCACAGCATTCCAGGACATATATTTTTGTTTAGGTCTTTCCATTGAAAATTATTTGGATAAAAGCCTCCTCAAAATAATTGTTCAATATAAATTTTTGTTTTAGTACAGTTTGAAATAAAAATGAACGTTTAAATTTGAAAATCAGTTTCGAGACTGGAAGAGTATATATGATAGATGTGGGATTTGATTTTTCCAATGTACCCCAATCTAAGGTCTAAAGATTGGGACAATTTTGTAGCAGGTAGTAGTAGTACTACAGTTCTCTCCAAAGCGTTAGAAGACAGGACCAGAGTTTGCAACTTGCATACAAGTTTTGAATGTTTTTGGTAAGTTCCAACGGAACGCGGGACTGCTCCACAAACTTTTGATTCTTTGGTTGACGTAATTATGATCAGTGGCCAACCTCATAAATTTCAAAATTTCTGCTAACTTGCCAAACTGGAAATTCTGGCAATTCTGTTCAACATGAATCTGCTCCTATATGAAACTTGTCTTAAATTAGGCATTACGTGAATTACCATTTTAGCTGGGAAATGAATTTGAGATCTATTTTTGTTCGAGAAGCCTCAAATTTTCATCACACGTCAACTTCAGTACTATATTATTGATCGGTGGCCATTTGACCAAGAATTGGCTACCCATATTATTATATGTTTTCATATAGATTAGTATAGAGATGAGAGTCCACGAAAACTATTGAAGCAATGGTAATGCTTTTCAAGTCTTCAGTCTTCACTACATACATATGTGTGGTCTAAAAGGTTGATAAATTATTGAAGCAGATTCTATTCAAAGATTTTCGGTTGCAACGCACCTCTCACGCAATGTGTTTTGCATATTGTCAAGTTCAAAAATAAAAATAAAAATAAAAATTGCCTTAATATATTAAACTTAAATGTAAATTAGATTAAATATCACTACCATAAAAATGAGTAGTTGAGATACTTTTTTGGGTATCAATAAGCTGTGCAATATGATAAATGTTACTTAATTTGCGTGGGACAATACAAAATAGTGTCTAGTATATTCGAATCACAATAAGTCATAACACATTTGAAAGTGTGTTATTATATTGCCACTTAATAAGACACTTTAAAATGACCCATTAAATAAGCTAATTAATAGTTCACAAACAGCCTAAATAGTACACTTATGATAGTATATCATAATATGAACACACTTTTTTATTTTTTAATAAGACACTTTCTTAACAAATGTCCTAATACTTATATAATGAGACACATTTTAGGAAAATATGTCCATCTAAGAAGGTGTCAATAGCCTTTATTTGTTGTAGTGTATGTATGATATGTGTTTTGATTAGATTTAAGTTCACGACTCCTGTACCAAAATTTGCGACTACTTCATAAACACTCTTTGATATGTGCCTCACTTAGATTTCTAATGAGGTAATGTGATGGAATAAGAATTTTCAAACTGGAGAGCCCCAAAAAAGTTGTTATCATTGATTGATCAAACTTCAAAAACGTTAAGCCGACAAACACCAAAATCCGGCCCACCGGGTCGGTCGAGCCCCCTGAACCCACTAATTTCGTCCATCCAATTCCTTGAGCACTAAATATGGAATTGGAAATTGTATTTCCATTCAGAAAATAAAAATTATTTTTCATTACATCATAAAAATAGCTCTTATTCTCGGGTGAGTATTCTAATAAATTTACTAGACATTTTGGCAAGTTTATTGTTCATATAGGCTGTAGCTAGCAGGAAAACTGTAAATTAGACGTGTTCTCAATGTGCTAGGAGAGCCGCAATCGGATGGCAATTTAGGGAAGAATTTTTGTAGTTTACAGAGAAAAGTAAAGAAAAGTGACAATGTAGACAAATTGTGTGACATTTTCTACTTATTACCGATTGAAATTATCTGAACTACTTTGCCTGGATTCTAGAATTTTTCCTTGTACCTCGTATATGTAACAACAAATAGTAATTATTTACATTTCATCAAAAATAAATATTTTTCACCCCAAATAAAAAAACAAAATAGTAATTGTTTACAGGTTTTGGGCTTTTTCACTGGGCCTTTTTTCTGATGTCATTATCACACATGGGCCGAGTTCAAGACTATAAGATTGTTCCACTAACCATGTCACTTGCATACATGGTATTTATATTAGTACATTTGTTTCGAAATTTAAAATTTTATTTTTAATATAAATTTTAGACTAAACATAAAAATTTAAACTAGATAATTATTTTGACAATTATATTATTATTACTTTGACACCATAAAAGTGACAATTACACAGAGAAACCACATATAAATACAACAACCTCGTAAGGCCACATGGACCGGTGGCTCCGTGAGAAGCCAGACAGTCGGAAGCAAAATGCCATTTTTTGAAATTAAACTGCTATTCCGATTTGTGTTTTATAATTTTGTATACTTTTTTATGATTGAGATATACCTTTAAAATTATATTTTAAAATCATATTTTGGCCAAAAACAATATTATAAGGAGAAGGAGATCGATCTTCTATTCCAACATCCATGGGATTGAAAAATTAAATAAATTGATCGAAAACATATTTTACATTTTGGCTGTCGAAACTCCAAAGACGATCTTGGGCGATTTCAACACATAAACTCCCAAAATAAAAAATTAGATGTACGCAGTCAAACAAATCCTAAACTTTTGTATGTCTATAGGCCAAAAAAAATTGACATAATTATTAATCTTTTCTTTTGACTTGACCAAATTAGAAATGTGATCGTTTTTATCATAATTATTAGGCATGTTTACTTTCAACATTTTCTTCTGACTTCTCTGGTCCTTGCTGAAATTGTCTTTGCTATCAGCCTATCACCATAATCTATCCAAATCGGATATTTGCTACCCCTTTGTGTTGCGCTTTCCATTTTAACTCTTCATCTTTGAACCCCCTGCCACTAGACAAATAGGACTATATTAGCCTACACTGTAGTATACTAACATCTCGTATCCATCTCGGTCAAACATAATTTTCTTCACTAAATAATGGGCAGTTTTGACCATGATCACATATGTTTGCATATAGTAATTTACTTAACACAGGATGTCCAGGAGACAACGAGGATGTGCTAATGCGGCATAAATCATTGGTTTCTTCCATCCTAAGATATCTTCTTGTTTGGTGTATTATTGGGACAGAGGGAACTTCATGGCCCGAATCAGAAAAGTAGAGGAATATCTATTTCTATTCCAAACGGAAGAAGAGTGTTAATCTAAAGTATAGAAATACTCCACAATCATTATTTTGTACTCCCTCCGCCCCACAAAAATAATCCACATTGAATTTTGAGTTTTGTACTGTTTTTAATACAAAATTGATAACTCAATGTGGACTTTTTTGTGTGATGGAGGTAATATAATTTTATTGGCATATTAATAAAGTTAAAAGTTAGACAAGGGGACAACTTTGTTAGACTGAAAAAAAGTATTTTTAAAGTATGAAAATAGTAACACGTCGTAACTAACTATAGATTTTCTGTCAAAAAAAAAAACTATAAATTCAAATGACCAAATAATAATTTGCATTTTTCTTCACTTAGACTCTAAAGAGTAATAAAGAAGCTCTATTTCTATTACCAATAACCATAAACCAACTCCAATGTGGTGCAAATGAGATTGCAAAATTTTGATATACACTTCACTATATTTTTTTATAACTCATAAAATTGCTACTCTACCTGTACTACTGTACCATTTCTCTTACCCAAAAAGTTACAATTTGTTCAAGATGTTTTAGAGTGTTATGAAAGTTATAAAAACCGGGGAAAAAAAAAAGAAATTAATTTACTGGTTACTTTTTACACCTTAGAAATGGTTAATTCCGTCATCGAGGAGCAAATGACACCGTAAAATCTGACGGCACGTTTACTCGGTCCGACCACATTTTAGACTCGAGGTACAGCTTCGATATTTTACCCGCAACCCGTCTCATATCGGGTCTGTCATTCGGATCCTCGCGCACGCAATCCAACACCAGACGTGTCAACTTCTCCGCCACATCTACCGGAAACGAATCCCTCAACCGCCCGTCCATCCACCTCCTCAGCCTTCCCTCCACCGCATCGCCGCCGTCAACCGCCTCCCTAGCCGTATCAATTATGCTCATTTTCCGATATTCACCGCTCGCTCTATCATATTTATACTTGAGAGGCTCCTCTCCGGACAAAAGCTCCAAAATCACGACGCCGAAAGCGTACACATCAGATTTCTCGGTGGCGATGCCGGTCGACTTAAATTCCGGCGACATGTATCCTCTCACGCCTTCGAATTGCCTTCCTCTACTCTCCGACCTCCTCAATTCCGGATACTCCGCCGCGATCTCGCCGTCGTCGGTCCCTGTCTCGGAGCAGAGCTCGGCGGCTCCGAAATGGCAAATCCGCGCATTCAACGAAGGTTCGGTGATGATAATTCCGCTGCTCTTCACGTGCTTATGGACCAAACTGATTGTGAATCCGGCGGTGTTGTGAATATAGTCCAATCCGTGAGCTAAATCGGTGGCGATTTGCATCCGGGACATCCAGGTGGAAAGCACGGTGAAATTGGGGTTCAGGGGATTCCGGAGGCATACGGCGAGGTTCGAACCGCCGACGAACTCGTAAACCAAGTAAATGTGATCTTTCGAGATGGAAGCGCCTAGAAGTTTGATTATGCTCGAATGGTGGCTCCGGCAGAGAATTGACAATTTGGATTTGAGCTCCGAGTCGTGGATTACTTTGTGGATCTTCCTCTGGAAGATGATGACGTCCTTTCCGTTTAATTCGCACCGCCATGATTGGGATGACGAAGAAGAACTTGAGTATCGTTTGGCTAAGAAATTGTTGGTAGCTGATCGGATTTCGGAGAAATCGTAGATATAAGCGTGTTCCGGAAGCGAGAGACGAAGGCTGGAGAGAGAAGTATGGCTAGATGCGGAAGTTGTGTCGGCCGACGAGTCGAGCCGGTAGCCGGAACCGGAAGAGAAGCTGTTGCCGGTGACTCCGTCGCTGGTTGAAGGAATTGAGGAGGAGAATTTGGTAGGTGTTCTGGAGAAGGGAGAACGAGGAGACGGACGCCGAGGAGATTGGGTGGTGGTTCTTGCCTGGGTCCCGGCAGCCGGAGCCGGAGAAATCGGAGTTGGTTCAGATGCATCTACGGCCATTTTGGTTCTGCACATGGAAACCCAAGAAATGGATCGGTTGCGGAATTATTTGAAGAGGAAACAAAATTGAATTTGGGATTAATCAATTTGATTGTTGAGTCATAAAAGATGATTGAAATCAAAATATTCTGGGCCAGGAAAAATTAAAAAGATTGATTACGCTGTATAATGTTACCGAGTCAAAAACGAGATTGGGTAAAAACGTCTATCGTCATCAATGAACGAGTAACGAGTTGAGTATCTTTTGCCCAAAAAGAAGTGGTGATGGTGGTGGACAAAAATGGTGGGCTACGGCGGAACTTGAGTAATTAAATAAAAGGTAATTTTTAAATTGTGCTTTTTGGGCCTTTTATCGTATGGAATCTGGCAGTGGTTAGCTTGTTTGGTATGGCGGTGATGATGATGGGAGCGGGTTTTTTTTTTTTTCATTTTTTTTCTTCCTGTGGAAAACGATGGGAGTGGGTTAATTACAAAATAATTTTGATTTTCTAGGAGTAAAAATACAAAATAATTTCTTTTATATTTGAAGAAACTTTTGTTTTTGTACTTTTCTTTTTGTTGAATTGATGGGAAAAATATGGTAGTGGTGTGAAACCATTTCATCGGCGTGATCCTTGTACGAAGGGATTCTAAATATGGGGAATTGAATAAGAGTCTAGTGCGTATTGTGTGTTTCTTAATAATAGATGATTGTGAGATTTTTAAAGGAATTTTATCCGCATTTAAATGATGTGATGTTGATTATAGTATTTTTCTTCTTTTTTAATATTTGGGACAAGAAAAAGTTAAAATCATGAAAAAAAGGAAACACACATCCCTTATAAATGCACTCTTATTTAATTTAGAAGTCTAGAATGTTTGTGTTGATCTTTTAATAATTTTTCGTATTTAAAATTAGTTTGTCTGTTTGGTAAAAATTAATTTTTAATTCTAAATGTTTAATAGAATTAAAAATACTGAAACATTAAGCAATAAACTATCTTTTATTACTTATTATATTTTGTACTGCAGTTTCAGTACCACTTAATTCATTAAAAGATTCATTTTCTGTTATCAAATTTACTAATTTAAAAAAATATTTAATAAAATAATTTTAAGCATTAAGAGATGTTACCAAACAAGCCATTCAATCATTATTTTTTTTCATGGAAACAAATAATTTTGATGATATTTTGAATAATGGGTTAATAAATAAATTATGTTAGCAGCTGCACAAGAATCGATGTTGCCTGTTGACCCATGTGCTTTTTACTGTGGGAGAACCAAAAGTGTTTCTCTTGGCCAATAAATAGAGCCCAAATGAAATAATTACCCCTGGCAAAAGTATCTTAGATCTGAAAATGGTGAAAAAAGAGGGAGAAAAAGGGGAGGCAAAGGAATGTGAGATGCCAGCAGCGGAGTCGGAGGAGGAGGAAGAGGAATCAGTGGGGAGTGTACAAATTATTGTGCAAAAGCTGGATTCCATAGATGTGACAATGAGGGTTAAAAAGAATGTGAAACTGGGTAAAGTCATGGTTGTTTACTGCAACCGTATGGGGCTCCGGATGGATGCCCTCAGGTTTACTATCGATGGGAAAAGGGTTAATGAACAGCAGACTCCTAATGATGTTGGCCTTGAAGATGGAGATGTCATTGACGTCTGGTCTGAGCAGTTAGGCGCCGGAAGGAATGGCGGAGCCGGCTCCACTCCGGCGGCTGGCCACCTCAAATTTTTTTAATTAGTTTTTGGGCTTAAGTAGTTTTGGGCTTTTTTTTTCTTATTTTGTTTGGTTTTGTTGGCTCTTGAATTGGGCCTTTCAATTGTACTATTATTAAGTTAATGTAAAAGTTTACAAAGTGATTGTTGAATGATGAATCATGACTATATAGTACTTCTTCTCCCAAAATTATTGTCTAGTTTAAGATTTTATTTTTAGTACAATTTGAACTAAAAATGAACACCCAAACTGAACAATAATTATGGGACGGAAGGAGTATAATAAGCAAATGATTTTGATGGCAGCCATTTATATAGAATGAGAGCGGAAATCATATAAAATGCTAGAATACCCCATTCACACGTATGATTGATAAATATTATGTTTTGCCGACCCGAGTAACTATTTTTCAATTTTCATTCGATGTTTTAAATCATATGCATGTATTTGGTGTTGAATTTGGAATAAAAGATTCTAAACATAAATTCTGTAGGAATATTGACAAGGGAAAATTAAAAAGAGAAGAATCCAAGGCATAACCCTTATAACCACATTAATTATTTAAAAGTCTACAATGCGATTGTTCATTTTTTAAATATTTTTCTTGGGAGAATGGATATTTTCATCTCAAGGTTTGAGCTACACCATCTAAAATATCTCAAAGTTTAAAAGCATGTCATTTTCATCCCAAACTTTTCAAAAATATGTAATACTAAGATATTGTTAATTTTTTTCAAGTTATTAACGGCGATATTTCATTCAGTTTCTTTTCTCCCTTTTTTTTTTGTCAAAAAAATTTCATACTTGCATTTGGTAAATTTGGTCCATGCCAAGCAAAAAAGTTGCATGCCCCAGCATCAATTACAACACCAATTTTTATAATAATGCTACATATTTAAAAAAATAAATAAAATAAGGCTTACTTTCTAATTAGGACATACACAAAACCTCTCATGATTGTTATCAATCTAGAAGGTGAATATTAGATTTTTTTTTTCTTTTCCTAAGCAAAGGAAGAATAGATGATGTGAATACCAAATTAGGTTTAGCTATTTTCTTATAAGGTGGGAGTTAGTGGAACGTGTTAAATGATTAAAAGAATTGGAGGAGGAGAAATAGAATAAAGTACCACCACTAATTAATTAACTGGAGTTAAAAATTTCAACGAATATCCTAATGTAACATACTTTTAAAAAGTTTGGGATGTAAATGACATGTTCTTAAACTTTGGGATGTTTTGAATGGTGTGACCTAAACTTTGGGATGAAAAGACCCATTTTTCCTATTTTTCTGTGGTTGAAAGTAGTACATTAGGAGAATTATAAATCATGATTATTTTGTATAAACAAATGAATTTTATGATAGTTTTACATAAAGTAGAAGTAAAAACCATGTAAAATCCAACAACACCCATTCACTTATATCATAAATTAATATTTGATTTTCTCGTCACTTTATATACAATAGTTTTTAAAAAAATTTCACGTCTGTGGAGCTAATGTTTTTAATGAAAAATTAGAGGGAAAGAAACCGTTAAATGCATCATTACAAATTAAAAATAAAATAAAATTTTATGACCGTCGAGTTTGCAGTCGCCTTTTATAAACCGACGAAAATGTCTACACCAACCTTTTTTTAAGAGTTCGTCATTGCTAAAGGCGAACTCTTAACGATTTACAAAAAATATTAATTTGTTTACTATTTTGTCTGTCTCTTTTTTTTTACAAACCAACTATAAAGTTGATACACCTTGCTTTAGTTCTCTTTCGGCACTTAAAATGTATCGATAGATTTTCGGCTGTGTTCCAATTGAATGTTAAAAGATCTAAATGATTCGTCTAGAATACTAGAAATGTAAGCCATCTGCAAAGGCAGAAAGGATTTGTTCTTGTGTTTAACAATCGAAGCCTAATCTGAATATATGAAGAAGAAACAGCTCTCATTACGTAAGAACACTAGTTGCGGAAAGCTATCTACAACGATACCATTTCTTCAAAAATTTTCGATTAACAGAATTCGGCACAACTAAATGTGTAGTTATGCAAAGCGAACCATGATGAATCTGAGTTATTATCAATAGAGTTGCCGAGATTTAAAGAAAATCCAACATCAAAGAAATCGTTCCTCAAGCTGTAAAAGATTAGTATCTCTTTCCTTTACATTAAAGAAGCAAACTAGAAAGAGGATGCATCTTGGACACTAAACTTAGAACATGATTGGTTAAATATAATCAGTGGCGGAACCAGTTCTGGACAGTTGGGGGGGCTCCATGTCCTATTACTCTCTTTATTCTGAAAAAAACTCAATGTGAATTATTTTTTTGAGACATAGAGTATTTTTTATTTATTCAAATAATTAATAATTTTTTAAGAGATGAACTAATATTCATGTTCTGGGATATATATTTGCATAAACAGGCGTAGAATTTGCATGATTTGTTAGAAAATGTGACCTAAAAAATTAGATTTGGAGATGAGCTCTAATTTATTTTTAAAACTCATATTTAATCTCTAAACAATAAAAAAAAATTGATGAAGTTGGAATGTATTAATTTTTGCTTTCGAATATAATATTAGGTCTACCAACACAAAGAATGAAAAAGAAAATATTAGTTATACATATAATAAATTATGGATAAAAGAGGCAAAGGTAGCAACATATAATGAAAAGAGTAAATTAACCAAGAAATCGATATTAAAATCAGTGGAAAATCTTAAATAGGCCAGTAGCACAACGATTTCATGAAATTTCTTCATGATTATAAAAGAATTACTATGTATTTATTAATTCCCTTGTTTAAATTCAATTACTGAATAAATAAAATAAATGCAAAAGATTGATTAGCATGGTGTAAATGCAAAAGGTCTTAGTTTTGGATCGATTTGTATTTTCCGAAAAGTCAAGGGAGGAGAAACTACTAGAAAATGCCAATAGCATAGGGTGATTATGCCATATTCTAAACTGTAAGGACCAGTTAATCAATATATAAATAGATTTCAGAAGAAAAATAATTCTTCTTTCTTCCTCAATCCCGGCGAACCTGCAACCAGCCGCCGACCGAAATCAAAACTAATAACCTCAAGCCTTAGGCTTGGATCTAGCCTACCTCAAGCTCCCTCACACCCAAAATCACCCGGGGGGGGCTGAGATTGAAAGGCGGAGCCACGAAGGGCTCCGTGACCGGCCATCGTCACACTAGTCAAATAATAATTACCTACTTAATACAATTACTAGTAGTAAAGCAGAAAGCAGGGTCGATCCCACGGAGAAGGAATACTAATTACCAGGTATAAATTACTCCTATTATTATCTAGATAAATAATGATCTCAGAGTTATAAAATTTAAAACTAAACTAAATAAAATAAAAACAAATAATATTAATTCAAATAATTAGACAAAGGAAACCTAGGACATTGGGTTCACCTACCGAATATTTGGGTTAGTTCAATTCACAAATATCTGACTTTTAACTTCCATTAATCTCACAACGATTCACCTAATTAAGAACTATACACTCTCGTGTTATAATTCTCTTACTTATATTAACCCTATGACTACTCTCGTGACTATAGGGATTAACAAAAGCACATTAAGACCATTAAGAATCAAATATTGCAAAGGTTATAATCTTACTCTCGTAGCTTACAACCTAAGTTTATTATTCCTACGAACTAATACTAATCTTCTACTCTCGCTACTTCAATTAGTATCTTCAGACATGCAAATAGTGGCCAATTACTTACACGAATTAAAACAAGAATAACAAATATTAATTAATGGAAAAATCAAATAATAATGAACTAAATAAACTAAATAAATTCGGTGGCTACACCCAAGCCCTAGATTTAAAGAATTTAGCCACCAAACATTATTAAAAATAATTCAATAATATTTAGAGACATAATAAAAATAAATAAATTAAATAATTAAACTTTAAAACCGAATGAAGCCAAAAATCCCGCCAAACTCCCCGCCGGTTGCTAACTCGCTTCGCGGCTGCCGCTTGGTGGTGATGTGGGTGGTGCGCGCGGCGAAGAGGAAGGCGGAGAAGAGGAAGAAGGTGCGTTGGCGGTCGATGGTGATGATGCTGCCGGCTTGGAGAGGAGGGAGTTTGGCGGTGATGGAGGAGGAAGAAGGGCTGGTGCGTGGCTGCCTCGTGGAGTTGGAGGAGAGGAAGCAAGGTGTTGCGGTTTCGGCGGTGGGATGAAGGAGGAAGATGATGGAGATCAAGGTGGTGCTGCGCGAGGTGGTGGCTGCCGGTGAAGGAGGAGGGAGTTTGGTGGTCGGTGAAGAAGGAAACAAGAAGGTGAAGTGCGGGAGGTGGTTTGCACCGTAAGGTTTTCGCCGCTTTCGGTTCGATTCACATTGTAAAAATAAATCCCTAATCCTCCTTTTATAGGCTTCCGGCTAAACCCTACTCCTTGAAGAACAAGAAAACTTGTTTCCCAAATAATATCGGGATTAAAATTCTTATCCAATTCCAATCCGAAATCAGCCGCATAACCATAAGCTTCTCGGCCAATTTTCCAAAAACAAAATCAAATTCCAAAATTGCATCATCAGCCCTCCAATTCTCTAAACTCATTAATTTCTTCCCCATCAATTGCTCCAATCTTCAATTCTTTCCCATTGAGTTGCTTTTAATTCGATTTTAACTCAAAACTTCAACAATTCTTCATTTGAGTACAATTCCTACAATTAAAGACAAAATCACATAAATAGCATATTTGTATTCAAAATATATTGCAAAAATCACAAATTAGGAATATAATAAATAGGTAAAATATAAGCATATCACTCCGGCTGGAAGTCCCCAATGGGCTTCTCCGGCCGGCCGGGGGATCTTGAAACCCCACAAGCCCCAATGTGGTTCCGCCCCTGAACATAATCCAGCATATTCGTTGCCACTGTGGCGACTATTTCATCTTTAAAATCAACACCAGAAGGATGTATCATCACAGAAACTAAACTCGGAATATAATCGGCTATTTACAAAAGATGAATGTTAAACCAACGAATAAGCATAGCCAAACACTCAAAAGTCAAGAAAGTTGTCTCGTTAACAAACATTAGACATCATCTAAAGCAAATCCGTCGATTAACTCAAGTTACAGTCTCAACTCTGCACTAGTGCGAGTACCAGGCACATGTGAGCCCTTCTTGTTACTAAAAGTTCCACCTTTCCCAGTCGGCGTTTTGCTTCAGCCATGTCTTTCTGATCAGCTTTCTTCCTCCGGTAAAAAATTGGACAATCACGACTAGCATA